TTTTAAATTTACGTTGTTTAATGATACGGTGGCCGAGTAGGTGTTCTATTCGGGGTGGATTCGCACGGGTACCGTGTGGCTGCAGTGGCTCACCATCCTTGCCCAGCCTGCCCCTCCTCGGGGTGAAAGCAAAGGGGTGCTGGCGTGCCGGCCCAGGGTTTGACGTTTGGCTGTGGGTTTGCCCCCCACCCCAGCTCGCTGGCGGGGTGCGGTGCTGGAGCGTGCGGGCGGTCGTGGTTTTCACTCTCAGGGGATGTGTGAGGTGGAGGTGTCCTGTGTCCCTGACACGGTGTGGCTGTGGAAAGGGAGGACGGCTTTGAGAGCAAGTGAGCGGTAGGACTTAGGCGGCACACTGAAGAACCCATAAACGGAAGCTTTTCTTTATACGTAGCAGATACTTCTGTGAATTTATTTATGGGCTGCGTTAGCTACTATTTATGAAACTTAATTTCAAACTGCTTTCTGCTGCGCTCTGTCCTTCCCACATCTGCTCTTCCAAGTAACACCAGCAAGTGTTGATTTTTTGATCTTGCTATCTATTTCTTCCAGTTTCTTCTTGTTCTGCCACGTGTTGCATGGTTCGATTCAAACTGCAAGTTAATCAAAAATAAATACGAAAATCAATATAGGAATTATTTATGTTAGATTTTGTAAAAGCTTGTCTTTAGCAAATATATCGTTGACCCAACTTTATTTTAGAGTGCTGCTGGTATTAAACTGAAGGCATAAATTAAATCATATTAAACCAACTTGATAATAGAGGAAAGCAGATATAAGGCTTTTGCTCCAGCTCCCTGTGATGTTTGTCATAAACGCATGAGATTATGGATTCAGTGGAAGTCTGTAATGAGGATGCTCCCTGGCTGGAAAGGCAGTCGGTTTTCCTCTGTGCTTCACTGTCAAATCAGAATAATATTGAATTGGGCTCTGTAAGATCTATTGCGAATCCACTGTTTGTAAGTGTTCTGTCATCCATGTCATTGCTGAAACTTAGGGCAAATACTGTTTTTGCTGAAGGTGCCCATCTGGGAGGAGCTGCAACCATCTGAGAGGGCAGAATTCAGGCTTTTCATGACAAGTTGGAGTAACAAGGTGAAACAAGATGCAGTTCAAAATGGAAGCAACAAAGGTAGAAATAATTCTTACCCTAAGGTAGAAATAATCAACTATGCAAATAAAAGATGAGGGAGAGTGCAAGGGATGATTTTGAGGTTAAAATGCACCTCAGAAGTCTCAGTATCATCAATTATGACAACAGCAAATAGCCTGCTGGAAAGTACAAATTGAACAGGGCCTGCAAGGGCTGTGAATTGACCAATCTTCTCTGAGGCTCTACGAGTGCTGAGAAGTATTATGGGCAGAGAAATATACGGTTATAGTAGTATTGGGTGCCTCACCGTAGGCTGCAATTTGGAAAGCACCCCAAGGAGGGCAATGAAAATGATTTGAGTTGTAGGAGGAAAGATTGAAAGTATTAGATATATTTTAGAATAAGGGAGGGGAGGGGAAGGGCTAAAGGGAGACCTGATCTGAGTCTTGAGGTATGGTAATAGGTGTTTGCTCATGGTTATGCATATGAAGGATGGTAATGCTCTTGCGTTTCAAATCCACCATGGACAGAACTGGAAATAATGCTCTTCAATGGTGACAAAGGAGCTGTGGGTGAGAAAACATTGCAAGGTAAAGGTAACAGAGCTGTGGGATGGATTGTATAGGAGCTCTATAAATTGCGCGTTGCAATTTACAGAGCTCTGGTCATACCAGGTAGGTATCTGTGAAGAATATTTGCATTTGGTTGATCCTTCTGTAGAGGCAGACTATGCAGCTTCTTGAAGGCCTTCCTATTCATACTTGTTCCTCTGCTAAGGATGGTAGTGCCATCCACTGCCTTAGCATAGGAAGGTGTATCCTAAGGCAGTAAACTTAACTCCACGTAGATCACTCTACAATCCATGATGGTTTGCAGTAGTTCAAAATGATCTTAAAAAAACTAAAGTGGTGGAATGATTTATAGAAGATGATAATGGTCTTTGCTTGTCATATAAATGAAAGACAAAATGACACATTTTCTGAGTAGGAGACAGGCTTATAAATATTGCCTATTCCAATTACTCGGATTTTTGCTGCTGAGTGGTAGGAAAGTTAGATGTCATGATTGACTGCTCTGATGGTAGTAAGTGCCAGAGTAGAATGGGTCATGGTAGGTGCTCACTGTGGTGTTGAATTGTACATTAGTACTTCCCACCAGCTGGCTTCTGCATTGTTCACACACGTAAATGGATGATGTTCAAGAACAAGGCAGTTATTCAATACTTAATTTTATTTTCAAGCATTCTTGGTCCCAGGCCTCATTTATTACCTGGTGTAGAATTGCAGAAGTGTCGTTTGGGAGAGGTATCTAGAGGCTGCCTTCCCTAACTCCTATGCAAAGCCAATTCTTGATCAAATCAGCTGTCGCTTTGCTGAATGCTGAAAACCTCCAAGGATGGAGATCCCACCTCCCGTGGTAACCTGTTTCAGTGCAGTTGTACTTTCCTAATGAAAAAGATTTCCCTGACGCATGTTGTAATGCTCTTCTGTCTTCCTGTGACATCAGTGGGTCCAGTGTTAGAGCATCTGCTTCATGGTCGTTACTGCATTGACCTTCTTAACTGCTTGTGTTAATAGCATTGCCGTTTTGCCCATGACGACTGGCGTAACTGCGATTATGAACGTTTGCCGTTTTGGCAGTGGTGGTGTACTGAATCTGAGAGGTGTGGGAATTTAGCATTTACAATTATAATGCACAAGTAATTTTGACAACAGCTTGAAGAGGCCATTCTGTATGGTTGAGTGTGGCCGTTACTGTAGTTTTTTAGCCTTGGAAATTGACATCAAAAGTTTTACTCAGGAGACATGTGGTGAATCAGTGAAAGATTTGGGACTAACATTTAAGGATTCCTGACTCCTTTGTGGTGAGTTGACCTTGGCTGGCTGTGAGGTACCCACCAAGCTGCTCCATCACTCCCCCATCTCCTCAACAGGGCAGGGGAAGAAAGTAAGACAAAAAGCTCATGGGTCAAGATAAGGGCAAGGTGATTACTTACCAGTTACCTTCACAGGCAAAACACACTCGACTTGGGAAATTAATTTAATTTATTGCCAATCAATAACAGAGTAGAATAATGAGAAATAAGAACAAATGTAAAAACATCTTCCCCCCACCCCTCCCTTCTTCCCAGGCTCAGCTTCACTTCCGACTTCTCTACCTCCTCCCTGCAAGCGGCACAGGGGGGTGGGGAATGGGGGTTGCGGTTAGTTTATAACACTTCATCTCTGCCACTCCTTCCTCCTCACATTCTTCCCCTGCCCCTGCACGGGGTCCCCCCCACAGGAGACAGTCCTTCATGAACTTCTCCACTGTGGGTCCTTCCCACAGGCTGCAGTCCTTCACAAACTGCTCCAGCGTGGGTCCTCTGCGGGGTCACAAGTCCTGCCAGAAGACCTGCTCCAGCGTGAGCTCCTCTCCATGGGGCCACAGGGCCTGCCAGGAGCCTTGCTCCAGCATGGGGTCTCCATGGGGTCACAGTCTCCTTCAGGTGCATCCACCTCCTCCGGCGTGGGATCCTCCACGGGCTGCACGTGGATATCTGCTCCACTGTGGACCTCCATGGGCTGCAGGGGAACCTCTGCTCCGGCGCCTGGAGCATCTCCTCCCTCTTCTGCTTACTGACCTTGGTGTCTGCAGAATTGTTTCTCTCGCCTGTTCTCACTCCTCTCTCCCAGCTGCTGTTGCAGTGGTTTTTTTTACCCTTTCTTAAATATGTTCTCACAGAGGTGCCACCAGCAATGCTGATGGGCTCAGCTTTGGTCAGCAGCAGATCTGCCTTGGAGCCGGTCAGCACTGGCTCTGTCTGACGTTGGGCAGCTTCTGGCATCTTCTCACAAAAGCCACCCCTGCAGCCTCCTCCGGCTACCAAAACCTTGCACATAAACCCAATATATCCCTGCTCTTCCAAAATATACTATTTTATGGATTTTGTAATTTTGTTTTAGTTTAAAATGTCGCACCGTCAGTTTGCAGAAAATTAAGTGTATACAATTAATGGCTACTTCACAGAAGCAGTTTATTCAATTTGATTTATCAGTTTGCTGAAAAGCTCCTGAATGGATACAATTTCTTTTGAGTTGCCGTAACAACTAAATGATAGTACGTAGCTGCTTTCTTTCCCTGTAGCCTCCAGCTGAAGCCTTATCCTTTGCTTCTGCAGGTAGTCCAAGTAATTTCATACAAATACAAAGCACTCTTTCAAAGTGTGAGAAAATGCAATCTTTGATTTCTTTTTTCTTACCCCTCCCTTCTAGCCCACTCAGTAGCCTATACGAGGGAAACTCTGGGAGGTTATTTTTATCATTAAAATGTATTCAGTTCTAGTTTCTGGTCATAATACTGACAAGCTTCTCTGCTTTCGTTCTAGCCTTTGGAGTTTCATCAGACTTGTGCTAAAACAAAGCAAAGACGGAACAAACTGCACAATTAAACCATTGAAAATATGTGTATACACAGTATTGAAAGCAAGTGGAAGCCTGACTTTTTTTTAACTTTAATTTATCCTGATTTTATGTCAGTTCCAAGAATTGTGGATTTAAAAATTAATTTGAGGAATGTAATTTTGCTGTTGGTACCTTTTTTTTTTTTTTTAACAGTACTTTAGGCAGTATGCTCCTCCGCCCCCCTTCAGGGTTCAGAAGTTTCCATGTACATTTACATTGACTTGTGTCTCCCACCTAATAAAATCTTGATTACCTATTGATGACTGTACTATACTGCTCAGTATCAGCCGTTCATTTGAATTTAGAAAGATGCCAAAATCAGGCTTGAAAAACCTTTCTCCTGTTTTGACTTAAAGTAACATAAAGCTGTTACTTGGCAGAGGCGTTGCAGACTCTTTCTCACTCTGCTGCTTTTCTGAAAGGATCTTCTCTGCCACGGAAAACTTTATCTTTATTTTGTTTTTCAGATGACTACTCTGGGCAACTTGACACCCTCAAGCACTGTGTTTTTCTGTTGTGATATGCAAGAGCGATTCCGGCCTGCCATCAAGTACTTCGGTGATATCATCAGCGTGGGCCAACGACTGGTATGGTTTTTGCTTTTTTCCTTGTGGTGAGCTTTGATCACAAATGTAGATTATTATTTTACACATAGCCAGTTTACTGGTTATTCAGTTTCAGGTAGTAACAATGTCTTCGCTATTATCATTCTTTAATAATTTATTTTCTTGTACGCTTTTCTCCCTGCTCCCTTGCAGCTCCAAGGTGCACGGCTCTTAGGAATTCCAGTTATTGTAACTGAACAGTATCCCAAAGGTCTTGGCAGCACTGTGCAAGAAATTGATTTAACAGGAGCTAAACTTGTGCTTCCCAAAACAAAATTTTCAATGGTATTGCCAGAAGTCGAAGCAGCATTAGCAGAGATCCCTGGAGTCCGCAGCGTTGTCCTGTTTGGAGTAGAAGTACGTGCCTTGCCATTCTTGTACTGTTTTATGGTAATGTCTGTTGGCCCACAATAGTATTAAACATTGCTTTCTGTAATTAAAAAAAAAGACAATTTATATTGCTTAGGGCTTAGGTAACCTCTACAGATTAAATTGTTCTTGTGTTACTTGTCTTCGATATTACCTCATAATAAAATCTGAAATGAGAGATTTGTAAACTACAGGCTCTTGTCTCAAGCTTGGTTGGCATTTAAAACCCACATTGAGTTCCCTAGGAATGTCAAAGGTAGAAAAACACGTTTGAACCCTAATTAATGATGTACTCTAATTTGGCGTTGTGCTACTCATATTTTATAATAATGGTTTGTTGGTGGGGTTTTTGCCTTTGATTTCTCCCCTGTAGACTCATGTCTGCATCCAGCAAACAGCATTGGAATTAATCGGCAGAGGTCTCGAAGTTCATATCGTAGCTGATGCCACCTCATCAAGAAGTATGATGGACAGAATGTTTGCTCTTGAGGCAAGTTTCTTAGTCAAGGCTTTCTCCACCTTGGGTCTGTATGTTAATTGCCCTACTTATTGTAAGCTAACAAGGAATTTCTAAGAACAGTAAGCAGTGGACAAATGTAGACTTGAGAAGAGGTGAATGCTCTGATTCTCAGAATAGCTTCCAGGATGGACAAGGATTACTATCTTATTTTTCCTCCCTAAATTATGATTTAATATGTGGAACCCAGTTTGGGACACTTGGATTTTAAAAGTGATCGTTTCATGCAATTTAGTTTACTCTGTATAACCATTAGCATTTTAGGATATTTTCTCATGGAGTGTTAATCTGTACAGCAGAGTAAAAGCGCTACAGAGCTTTTGGTTTTGTTGTTCCAAACAGTATTTGTTCTGCTGTTGAAATTCCTTGAAATGGAATGGAATATAGTAAGTGATCCTGTTCAAAGCTCCTTCTTGTATGTCTGTCCCTCCCTCTGCTTTTCCTCATCAGTGCAAATTAAAGCTTAATCTCAAGACACTGTGATTATACTAAAGACTTCCCCTCCTCCCCTCTCCCCCCCACAGGATCTTAGTCTAACTAAATATTGAGAAAGTGGAGATAAATGTAACAAGAAGATTTAAAAGCATGTACAACTATGTGGCAGCAAATTCATGCAAACAATTTTTTGATAGTGTACTCTAACTTGCCTACAGGCATCACTGTTGGAAATCGAAAACTGATATATACATTAAGTATTGCAATTTTTGCCTCAACTACAGCATTTTATGCTTTTTTTATAGATTCAGAGAAGACTTTTAATTTCTTCTGTTTCTCATGAGTAAGAGAATTAAAGGCTAAAGGGAAATCACCAGCATATAGCATTTGATGAAATCCATGACTTTGATTAAGTGGAAGCTTAATTTCGTCTGTCATGTAAAGCATAGTGATGCACACAGAGTGCAGGAGTGACTGAAATCATGGACCTCCCAAGTCAATGTGGTGCAGCAGCAGTAGTGGACAAAACAAATATAGAAAAACTGAAATCTGTTTGCCTTATTGTGTACGTCTCTGTACATTTATCACTTACACTGTATTTGCAAGCAGTTGGGTCAGTGTAATAGAAATCTAGTCTTTTCTGTTCTTCGTCTGTTCTACTTGTTCCTGCGGTGTGGATGCAACATACGCTTGCTGCTTTTCTTCATCTGAAAGACTATATTCTAAGAAAATTTTTCCTTTCCTTGAACATCATCCAGTATGCTTAGCACATGCATCTCTTCATTCCTACTAATCTCAAAATTATATAAATTATACTTAGTCCTAGAAATAGAGTATAAGCCAATGCCAGCCTCTTTGACATGTTATGGTATATCTTGCTTCTAAAGAGAAGACATTCTCTTTTTTCAGTCAACATTTTTCAGAAGGCAACGTTCTTTAATAGTTTGTTTTTTCTCTCATCCGTACTAGTTAAAAGCAAAAACCTTGTATTCCTGGAGAAGTACATCTTGAAAACATCACCATAATTTTTCATTTTGATTTTCCTATTTTTCTCTTTTGTATGTGTATGTGGTTTAAACAAGTGTGTCATTGTACAGAGTGGGACAGCTGGGGAAGCTATCTGCTTTATTTCAACTTAAGAATATCAGCAAGGCTTGCTGCCATTATTGCAAGCAGAGAGCATTGACTTGAGTAAACCTAGCCTAGTTAGTTTATCGTTATACAGACTGTAGTTACATATACTTTACTGGTCTCCTAAAATAAATAACTTTCCCCCATCAATTGCTTTGTAATTGAACAACTAAACAGCAGTGGTCTAAGTCTGCCCTAGAAAGTTTGGAGCTTCTCTTTCCATTAGTAATTACCATTGAAATCTGTCTGAAGGCGTACATATCTATATTTTCTGCCTCTTGCCCTTTCTTGGCTCATTCAGGACGCCATTAGATTTGGTGGAGCATGCAGCTGAGTAGAGGGTGATGGAGGGGAAGCTGGATTCGTGAAGAGTTTTACTGCCAAAGAGTTTTACTGTACGATTGCTGGGAAGCTGATGAGGGGCAGGGGTGGTCAGCCTTTACTTAAAGATAACCTTGCTACGTAGGCAACAACGACAGTCTTAAAAGTCAAAAAACTTTGCAATAAGTCCTGTGGCTTGGGCTACATGAAGCATTGCTGTGTTTAGTTGCACACTTACAAGATCTAGCAAACCTCTTTCAGTTTTGCTTTCTACGCAGCGACGCTTTTTATTCTGTAGCCTGTGAGAACTAACTTGGGAGTTACTGGGGCTGTAATGAGATGTCGGTTAAAAGGAGCTGCTGCTGTGCCAGTATGATTTATAAGGTCCGTAGAAGAGCTTTTCGTTCTGTCTCTTGAGATTATTAGTACTAGTGCACTGTGTAGTCCAAAGACCGAAGCCCTAGTACATAACAAGCCCTGAAAGAGAAATGGTTACAATTAAGTTTCTTGCTTAACGCCTTTAGCTTGGACCTCACTATTTTCTTTTTCCCCAGGCCTTTCAAATCTGCATGAGTGTGAAGAAACCTATCCTTGGGACCAAGGGGAAAGGGTTGTTAATATAAGAGGGGGTGGGTCTTCTGCGTATTAAATCTGACATGGGAAAAGAATCCGGTCCAAGTAGGAAGCCTTATTTGTAATCCAGGGCAGCCTTTTTCCACCGTAAAGTCTAAAAACAGTCACTTTGCATCCTAGCTTTATAAATGGCACTGCTAAGAAATGCTGGAATGGAATTGGCAATACTTTTGTTAATAGGAGATGTTTTTAAAAATACCATGCGTCTTTTTTACAAAATGTATACTCATTCACATTTGCAAGTATCTCACGTTATTCTCTCTCTGCTCTTTTCTCTTTCAGCGTCTTGCTCGTACTGGAATTATAGTTACTACTAGTGAAGCTATATTGCTGCAGCTGGTAGCTGATAAAGAACATCCAAAATTCAAAGAAATCCAAAATCTCATTAAGGCGAGTGCCCCTGAGTCGGGGCTCCTTTCCAAAGTTTAAAGAGGATGTGGAGGAAGCAGAGCTCATTGTCATCTTTAAGGAGGACAGAAAGCTGTAAGCGCACATGTACACCTTCTTTCACTCAAAGTTTGGTAGAACTGTAAAATTAAAAATTGACATACTTGTGCTTGCCGAAGCAAAATTGTCTGGTTATACGTTTGGGTGGCAGTATGTTCTGTTTAGTTACAGCTGTCAGAGGCTTTGGGTACCATAGGATCCTTTTGTCATCAAATCCCCTTATTTATTTAAAAAAACCCCAAAATTAACAGAGGTGTCTGCTAGTCTATACTATACATTGATTGTAATAGCTCCAAAAAGTGCATATTTCTGTGACACCTCTTGATTGTGCACTTCGTAAAAGTGTTCTGTGATATTCTGTTTTACTTCTGTATTAATAGAAGATAATTACATATTGGAGAAATGTGATGTGATATGCTTTAATGTTCTATGTAAATGAACTATTTTAATAGGGCATAAGTTAAAACCGAGTAAGATATATGGACTACATGTGCGCTTTTGTTCTCTAGGATAAAATTTAAGTGCTTTGCTTCGTAGACAAGACACATAGATCAAGCAGCAGCTGATGTTTGATTGCTCTAGGTAGCTGAAGCCTGCATCATGACTTTCGATTATTCTGAAATTGACTGCCCAACCCTGTACTTCACTTAAGTGTACACAAACAGAAAACTGTCATTTAATTTAGTTCTTTATAAACAACTGGTGTAAAGTCCTTCAGAATTAGCAGAAGATTACCAAAACTTTAAATAAATTGGAAATGCCAAGGATGTTAAAGAACAAAAGCTTTTCAGCTTCGAGTGCTCAATCTACTACTATGTTTAGATTTATTTGGGGCTTTTTACCCCATTTTAGTTAGATTGAAAATTCCATCTGATTTACTCATTTGGCCAAGCGAGCTCTGAAAGAAACCTTAGCTTCTCTAGGTTTTGGCGCTTTTTTTGTGGGCTGCAGTTGGGTGGAGTTTGAATGGAATCTGGCCTAAAAGTATTCTTCAGAAAAATAACATGTTTAACTTAATGATATATATATATATATTTTCTACCTAGAACCAATCTTTTAACATGATTGTTCATAAAGGCACTTCCTTCATGTTCCAGTGATTTAAACAATATTGTATAAAGTTTACAGTGAGACTGAGACATCTATTTTTTTAAAAGAGTACTAGAAGATCACACTGAACACTGATTTTTTTTTTTTGGTAGAAAACCAATTAGAGTACATGTATTGTTTTAAATTGCTTATTTTCCCCACAAGATGGCTCTAAAAGAATTGTTTCAGAGAGTTATAACCTTTATATGTTCAAAACAAATAAAATGTTAACATTTGCTGTCTCTCTTACGCTTGTGATATTTATTGAAGAGCAAATCCTGAAGGCTGTGTTTGCCATGGACCTTATTCTGTTTTGTGCAGCTGTGGAATTTCTATAGATGTCATGGGAATTTTGTGTAAAGATCAAGGGTGGATAATGTCTAATAATTCTTGTCTTCTGCGTCTAGTTACAGTGTTATTTAGTGCTCCAAAATACGAGGAATGAATGTTATAATTCAAGTTGGAGGCAGGGAGGGGAGTTGAGTTGCAGAACCATTGTCCTATATCATTGACCTACTTTTTACCTTCTTTTCTGGTATATTAATCGCGTTGCCTAGCAGTATAAAGTCCACTTATACAAATCAACAGCCGTGCGCAAAAATACTGTAAATTTCTTATGAAATAATGGTTTTATTGCTTTCTTACCCTTATGTGTTGATGGTACCTAGTAATTGAAGGAAAAATGATAGCAGTTTTTTTTACACATGTTTATTTTTGGAACAATATCAATTTCCTCAATTACAAATACATGGGTTTTTAAGAGGTAATTGTATTTGTTACTAAAAATTTACCATTTTTATACAGACATAAGTTGGAGTACAGATGTCACAAGTTCCTTTGCACACAGTCCTTTTCCTTTCCTAACTAAGGTTTCTACCAAAGGGGAATCATTTGGTAGTAAGATGGCACTAGAAAAGAATCTATAAAATACATTGATATTCTCTATGATGTTTTGTTTTGTTTTTTTTTTTTTTCTTTTTGGTATTTTCATAGCCTTCTGTGGCAAACTAGATTTTTGTCAAAGCCCTTAATTTGTGGCTTTTTTTTCCTATAAGCTTAAAAAATAAGTGTTATTCTGTAAAACTGAGCTCTTGGATGTGAATTTAGGGGCAGAATGATTGAAGTCTTTCTCCTTCTTTAGATGGGTGTGTTAATCAGCATCACATGGATCATTCAGATGAGATTCTGTGTTTATTTAAAACAAAAAAGTGTTGCCATATTTCTCTTACGTAAAGTAAGTTTATTCACAGGAGGGAATGTCCTTTGCTTCTTCATGCTCTAACTCATCTGTATTTTCTGTTCTCTGTCAAGCGGGTGTTCCCATGCAGTAGAACAGCAGAACTGAGCTGTGTGAGAAGAGGTCTGCAGGCTATGCATTATCTAGTGTAAGTACTGTTTGGCCCTGCAAAGATATGAAATAAATTAATGAAGTAGCACGGAGGAGAATTGCTTAGGTGTATGCTTGGGTGATTGTAAAGGAGCCTAATTCATCACTGTCTGAGTGGCAAGCTGTCCTTTATTAGAAGGCTTCACCACAGCTGTGGCTAAGCAACACGATCGCTACCTGCTGTAGGTGTCTTCAGCGTAACTTCTCTTTCCTTGGGGAAGCAGAAAGACAGTCCTTGATGGAGAAGGCTGGTTTGTTTTCCTCGGTAGGTATTCTGCTTCTGTGCAAAGTTGCTGATGTGTTGTTAGCCTCACTGGAGTAGCTGGTGTATAAATTCTACACCAAATATAATAATAGGCATGTGTGTGATTAGTTTTCCTCTGCTAAACCTTTACAAAGATGAGCGCTAGTAAGTTTCATATTAGACATCAAGGTGGTGCCCTCTCCCTCCCACCCCCCCATATTTATTACATTACCTAAACAATGACATTAATCTTTCAGGAGAGAAGAATTAAGATCAATCTTCTCTTTTTGACATGAGCACTCTCATTTTTTCTTTTAGAAGCCTCATAGATTTTTTTTTTTGTCAAGATTTTTGTTGAACTGAGACTCTTCTACTGCTGTTTGTTCTCTTATGTAAAAGATGAACATTCAATGCTTTGTTACTTAAAAACTTTGTTTCAATTAAACATGAAGTAATAGCTGGAGCTGTGGAGCCCTGAAGAAAGGCAGATGATATTAAGGAGGATAATGGCTTTTACTCTGATAAGCGGTGATGCCAACTAGTACTGTCATGTAGTTCACTTATTCTTCAGAGTATTTTCTACCATATTAAGTGCCATGGCAATGACAGAAGATGTCAGTGATTTGTAGAATCTGTTTCCCCCCCGCCTCCCGCTGCCCCCGGATAAATCAGAGATAAACTATACTAGATGGGTATAACACATGTCCTTCAGATGGGTTTAGAACATCTGCTCTGCAAATGGGCTATGGCAGGAAATCCTTGAAAAAAAAGTTCTGTTTTGATTGTCCAGTACTGGTTTCTTCTTAATAATCTCTGAAATGGAATACTTTCATGAAGCTGTTTTTAGACCTTTCTGTAATCTCAAGAAGGGCTTCTGGTACAGCAGAGGTTACGATTGAAAGTATGCTGCTGCTTCTCTTAGGGCAGAAATATATAT